GGTTCAGACTAGACAACCTCCAAAGCCCCTTCCAGCTCAGAATCCTAGAGTGTGGGGACTCTGTGAAAAGGAAGCATACTCACCAGTTTCCCAAGTAATTCCTATATGGTCAAGTGTCTATATCGCTTCTACACATACAGATGTCCCAATTGATGAGCACTTATTAAGCACCTGTGGTGTACCAGGTACTGGGACATGAAAAGGAACTTAAAGCATTCTCAGATGTTCCAAGGTCCAATATGAAGCAGCTCCTCCATGTGCCGGTGTCCCTCGTGTGTCCATTCCTCCACATACCACTGCCTCTATGATGTGTTTGGTAGCAGAAAGCCCAGGAGACTGTGGCCTGGACTTCCATTTTCTCAGCCCTATTTCCCCCAGGGTAATTTCTTCAGGCTTCCTGGCCTGTCCCACCTGGGGTACTACAGGGGGAGCTGGGCAGGTGCCCACCTGTGAATCCTTGTGTGATTTCCCCAGGGGGAGCCTGCCCACTTTGAGTTTCTCATGTTCCCGCTGCACTCTGCGTCCATCACGGGGCTGGCCACCTGCATCCGCAAGCCCCTCGTTGCTACATGTTCCCTGGACCGATCGGTGCGCATCTGGAACTATGAGACCAAGTAAGAGAGAAAAAAACCTGAGAATATGATGTTTGCCTCACTGTCGTCCTGCCCGGATTATTTGGGCTGTTCCACCTCACCATATGTCCAGCAGCCCTCTGTGCCAGGCAGTGGCCACAAGGCAGCCTGGCACCTCGTGATACCTCACTTTGAGCCCTGCCTTTGGCACACGCTGGCTGAGTGACCTTCACTTCTCAGGGCCCCAGGGCCCCGGGGCCTCTGAAACCATCCATCAGAGGAGGTGTGGTTAGGCACTGGATGAAGGCATGCCCACACCAACGCAATCCCAAGTCCCGGTCAAGAAATAAGGTCAAGCCCAGGGATATAGAGACTAAAACCAAGAATCCCTGCCCTCAGGGAGCATCTCTTCTGTTAGGGGTGTGGGAGAGGTGGACCCTTTAGCAAGGGCTCTTTTAAGCATTGGAGCTGCCAGCGTGGGGGGCCATGCTTTGGAGGAGAGCGGCGGAGAGCCCCTTCCCCTTGTGTCCGCAGTAATCTGGAGCTGTACGAGGAGTACCAGGAGGAGGCCTACACAATCTCTCTTCACCCCTCTGGGCACTTCACTGTGGTCGGCTTTGCTGACAAGCTGCGCATCATGAATCTGCTCATTAATGACATCCGGGCATTCAAGGAATTCCCCATCCGGGGGTGCCGAGAGGTGAGAGCTGCCAGGAGAGCCAGAGCAAGGCCAGGCATCCTGGGAAGTGCAGGGTCTTCCTGAGGGGGCGTCCAGCCTCTGCTCGAAGACCCCCGGGGATGGAGAGCTCACTGTCTCCTATGACCCAATGCATCCATTTCCCTGGAGACAGCTGTGCTTGCTAGGGGTATTTCCTTTCCATGACTAAAGCTCAGCCCTGTGCGATACTGTTTGGGACTCATTTCTTCTGTCTGCCCAAGTTAAATGATAGTCACTTCTCTGTCCCTTCATTGGTCTTCACACAAATCTTCTCCACCACGCTTCCCCCTGCCTCTTATTCCTGGATTTCCTCCCATGACTCACCTTCTTAATGTCCAATGTGCCCGACGCCCATCCTGCCCCTTTAATTGAAGGCATGACCGTCCAGAGATCTGTAGGACCAGAACAGAGGCCAGAGTGAACAGCCTGACTCCCACTCACTGACGGAAGGTCTTCCAGCCTCTCTTACGGCCCCCCAAAGTGGACTGTAAGCCAGTAACATCCCCAGGACTCCTTGGGAGAACCAGCCCCAGGCATGGAGTCAAGGAGGCCCTGACCAGGAGTTGGGAACAAGTGAGGGAATCTGCAAAGCTGTGCCTGGGGGCTGGTGGGCGCAGATGAGGCAGTGAGGGGAGCATTGTTCACCACAGACTGCCCTCCCCGGCCAGCCTGGCGGGCGAAACGTGCGCTGCAGTCAGTCCACCTGCCCCCAGCCCTGATGGTAGTTATCGCCGGACTTCAAAGACCTGGAGCTGTCTGCAGGCCCTCACTGGTGCTCACACGTCTCTCTCACCCCAACCACTCTGTAGTGTGCCTTTAGTAATGGAGGTCACCTGTTTGCTGCTGTCAACGGGAACGTGATCCACATCTACACCTCGACCAGCCTGGAGAACATCACTAACCTGAAGGGACACACAGGCAAGGTGAGTGCAGCCAGGTGCAGAGGGGAGCCGCCCAGCAGTCCAGCCAGTATAGGCCCTAGGGATCTCCCCCACCCCATACCTGTGTGCACGTGTGCACATGCCCTCCTGAGTGGGCCCAGCATGGGCTACCAGGTGACGAGAGTGACTCACTGAGTCAGAGGAAGCCTCAGAGGCTGATACCTGAGCACAAATCCCTCCATAATACCCATGACCAGTGGGTGTCCAGCCCCTGCTTGGAGACTTCCAGGGCCGGGCACTTCCCCATCTCCCTTTTATTGAGCTCCTGCTATGTGCCAGGCCCCTTTCCAAAGGCTGGGGATATAAAGAGAGGCAAAAGACAGTCCCTGCCCCGCAGAGACAACATGCAAGTAGGTTGTAGACAGGATAAACAGGCAAAAAGGCATTAGAATTAAGAGGAGTTGAGAAAGGCTTCCTGTGGAACGTGGGTGGAGATGGTCCTGTGGTCCTTGACTCTGATTAAAGCCACATCTAGGTTACTGACTGGCCACGGCTCTGGGCGCCAGTTAGGAAGGAGAAGGAAGGCTACCCAGGGGGCAAGGGGCCACGAGTCCATGCCAAGTGGAGATTGGGTGAAGGCCCTGGGGACGTGGAGCATGAGAAGCAAACGCTTGTCCCACCTGACCCCAGCGAGCAGAACCTGCAGCGGTGGGGCGGGGACTTTGGGGAAGCCCAGTTTAGCTTAGGTGTCAGGAAAAACTTCCCACAACAAAAACGTTTACACAAGGGATGGCTTTCTGGGATGGAAACGGATAGGGATTTGAAGAAAAATCTAGACAAAGTTTAAAAAGTTATCAATTAAAATATATTTGGGAGAAAGTTTGCATCTGTCAATGAAAACTGTGCAAACACTTCTGTACATTTCATTTACTATCTCAGCACCATAGTCTTCCCTCTTCAATAGTTTCATCAGCGAGACTGGGGGAGGAGGGAAATCAGATGGTCAGAGGTCTAACCAACTCTACACATACACATGCACGCACACACACGCACACACAAGCACTTTTAATACCTCACCAAGGATGCCCCTGATGCGTGTGCCCTAAACGTTCAGGTTTTATGTTCCTTTGTTTGCCTTTCAACGGTATTGATCAGGCCTGAGATTTTCCCCACACACACACTTTTGGTATCTCCCTTTCTCTCAGATATGTTATGAACGAAGCCCTCGGTGACCTCACAGTTCTCTCTATGCTGGGCCTAGACCAGCAACTCTTGCTGTTTTTTCTTTATTGTGTTTCCAGACGCCTCCACAAACACTTCCTCCACTGGGCCACTCCCAGTCCTAAGGCCATAATTTCTCTGCCCTTGATGGAGAAGGAAGAGGCCACATTGCAGAACTTTTATTTGTTGTTTCCCTTCTGTTTTCATCCATAAATGTCTGGGGGTGACTTTCCCTTTGGCAGTCTCAGCCACATGTTTTTCTTCCTTCTGTTTTCCTCGCTGCTTCTCTGTCTGATGAGGCCATCTCCGCTATCCATCGTCCTTGTCTGTATGATTTTACCAAGGAAGTTTCCTTTCTAAACCGGCCTTGCCCTTGGCTGCTTTATCTCTACGCTTGGCAGACAAGTCAAGCATTTGCCAACTAAAGCAGCTTTTAGACTCTTTTGGTATTTTCATTACAGCAATTGGTTTACATCAGTTAAACTTGTTATTTCCTTATGGGTGTATAAGGTTGTATGTTCCAAAGACCCTTGGTGGGTGGGCAGGGTCTCATTTTTTTGTATACCCCCTAGTGCTTTGCACATAATAAGGGCTCAATAAATGTTGGCTAAACTGAATTTTTCAAGCCTATAGCACTTCATCAGGGTTAATCTTTGCTCTCTTCCAGATCAAGTCAGTTGCATGGAATTTGGACGACAGCAAGCTGATTTCCTGTGGCACGGATGGTGCTGTGTATGAGTGGAACCTCTCCTCGGGGAAGAGGGAGACTGAGTGCGTGCTCAAATCCTGCAGCTACAACTGTGTGGGCATCTCTCCTGACTCTAAAATCATTTTTGCTGTTGGATCTGACCAGACCCTCAAGGAGATTGCAGACTCTTCGGTAAGCAAGACCATGACATTGGGAGAAGGGACAGGAGTGTACTGGAGCCAGCTTCTATGGGTTTGGGAAAGTCAATTGTTCAATTTTCAGTATGAACATTTACTCCTCAGAAAATAGCAGATACTATAAATCAAAACTTAATTCCTTGTTTTGATGATTGTCTAGACTTAAGAGTGTGATGGAGAAAATGTTAATAATACAGATTAAACTTAAAAGCATGTCTTACCTTTTCAGAGAGTTGGTTGTTAAACATCTACTGCCACACTCATGTGCTATATACTTTTTTTGGACAGAGTTATTAGACTAGTAGATTAGACTAGTAGACTAGTAGGCTAGTAGATGTATTACAATGCTGTAATACATTTTACCTAGATTTTAGGTAAGAATTTCATAAAATTTCCCATTTTTCTTTTGAAAGAGATATGGAATTAGATGCTAGTAGTTAGAACCAAAGGAGCAGGCTACCAGACATTCATGGTTGACTAGCTGGTATTGTGGATGAAAATCTCAGATTGGAAATCTCTTCAGTGGGTTACTGTAAGTGCGTAGGGCACCCCAAATATATCCTAGATAAAACTCGTATAGTATAGCACACCCTCTTGAACTATCCTCTCCCAACTCACACTTGCAGGTTCAAGGTACTCTATGGGGCTGCAGTCCTAAAAATATGACTCATGAGCCTCCACCCATGTGTTACCTTTAATAATTGACCAGATGACGCAGTTGGCTCAAAATAAAGATATTTACTGAAGTGGCAAAGCATGAAAAATAGAAACAAATCATTTCCTCCTTAAACCTGGGTCACTGTCTTCCCATCCCACACAGCATCAGTGGGAAGAATGGACACACATATAGAATGTAAGAATAGAGAGGTGCACATGCAGGAAACTCACACCTCTGACTGCAGGAGCACAACGTTCTTTCCTTCTTATAGTGTCTTCATGAGGTTCCCCCTGAATGCGGTATCTCTGCTTGGCAGGTCATTCAACTGAGATTCCTGAGCTCAATTCTTGCTTGCCAGGGCTAACTCTCTCCAAATTCACAAAGCTCCTCCAGTCTCGTGCCTTGACTCACAAAGGCCTACTCCACTCTGGGTGAAGAGAATAAGAGAATAAACATTTATTAAGCACCTGCTGTGTGCCAGGCACTATGCTAAGTGCTTTCCAAATATCATCTCACTTGATCCTCACAACAACCCTGAGAATGAGGTGATAGAGACATAGATGCTATTATTATCCCCATTTTACAGTTAAGGAAATTGAGGCAGAAAGAGGTCTAATGACTTTCCCAAAGTCATTTTACAACTAGTCAGTATCTGATGCTGGATTCAACTCGAGTTTTCCTGACTCCAGGCCCAGCACTCTATCCACTGCACCACCTAGTTTCTCCTACTGGGCATTTAGTTCACCTGCAAGACAGCACAACTGATGGGATATAACGAGGAGACAGAAATCCCATGCCCCCCCCCCCCACTCAAAGGGTGAGGAACAATTCTTTTTCAAGAGCTGGCTTCTTCTATAGCTGACTCTATTCTTTGATGCCAGAAGTCATACTTTTCAGGCTGATTCTTAACTTGACTGATTCCTTAGGGCACATCTTTCTATTTAAGGGCAACCAGGGGCATGGCCCATCCCTGAGCTAGTCAATAGCTAACTGCCTTCTGCTTCTGTTGTCAGATGTATGGGGTGCCCAGGAAGGACTGCACCTCTGGTGTGAGGGCTTACCGAGCCCTTTTCAGGGCTGCTTATCAGCTTTTGGTGTTCACCTACTACCCAGCTCTGACCTGTGGTTCCAAGAAGCTGTAGCATGCGCAGTGGCCACATTCCAGTAAAACCATCTTTGCAGATGGGCTAAACCAGGTTGAGGGTTCCCGACGGGCCTCCACCTACTGGAGGTGAGGAAGTATGTGCCCCAAGCAGGTGAAGCCTTCCCACAGTAGAGTGGGTGGATAAGAACATTTTGTTTCAATGGCCCATGAAGGCAGCTGAAGCAGGCACCATGGAGCTCTTAGAGCGTGGTCAGACACCCAAGACGTCAAGGTCATCCACTGCATCCAGAGCCATCACCAGTCATCTTGACTTTTGTCTTGCTGTTGGGCGCCAGCGATTGGAAGAAGGAGCAGGGCTGATGATTTCACACAACACTGCCTCACTTAAATCCAATTTATGCTCGAGTTGAAAGACATCAGTTATACCATTTTACTATTTCATTATTTTATTATTCAGTAAGTTTTACAATTTTCTAATTTTGTTATTTTACTATTTTATTATTTGTTATTTTACTTTGTTATTATTTTACTATCTTACTGTTTTACCTACCTCAAAGTCCTGTGGCAACAGGCTGGTGACAAAGCATCGGGTGCAGATGCACTGGGAGCTGTAGTCATGACCCTGCACGCAGGTAGCCCAGGCCATAGGGTTGTCTTCTCACCGGACCAAAGCAGCAGTGGGATTCGGCAGCTCTCCAGGTGTATGAGTAGCCTTTTAAGGACCACACTGCTCACCTTCTGGCATGAGGAAGGGGCTAGAGAAGATGCCCTAAAAATTGTATGCTTCACTTAACCCTGGCCTGCTAACCTCGAAAGGTGGAGATCCCACCCTCCCATCAAAACACAAAAACTACAAAAACTTTTGTGAAGATTATTCCACTCACCACTGGTACATGGAATGTTCACACATTTATGGATGACATGAAATCCATTAGAACTGAAAGACAAACAGCTCTTATTTCAAGAGAACTCGGCAGGTATCACATCCAAATAGCATCCCTGAATTAAACAAGTCTGTCAAATGAAGGCCAGCTTACCAAAGTCAGAGCTGGATACACGTTTTTCTGGAGTGGCCGCAGTGATGGTAGCACCATGAGGCTGGCGTGGGTTTTGCAATAAAAGCTAATCTAGTCAGCGAGTTTATATGCCCACCAAAAGGAGTGAATGACAGGCTCATGACAATGAGATTGCCACTTGCAGGAAAGTACCACACCACCATCATCAGTGCATATGTTCTCACCTTGACAAACCCTGATGAGGTCAAAGAAAAATTTTATGAAGACCTGGAGACCCTCATCATCAGTGGGCTGAAAGAGGACTATAATCCTGGGTGATTAATGCCAGAGTAGGCACAGACTACCAAACCTGGTAGGGAGTCCTTGGGAGGAATGGAGTCAGCAATAGCAACAGCTACTTACTATTGAAGATGTGCATTTCATGACCTTCTCATCACCAAAACCATCTTCCATTTACCTAAATGCAACAGAACTTCATGGATGCACCCTCGCAGCAAACATTAGCATTTAACAGACTATGTCATTGTAAGAGGAAGAGATAGACAGGATGTAAGAGTGATGAAGGCAATGCAACATGCAGCTGATCTCCAAGCTGATATTAGCTTAGAGAGTTGATCCTCTCCAAACTAAACATTTGCATTCAACCAAAGCAGTGGCCCCAAGGCATGAAAACTGTCAGCAGACTCAACAACAACAGGTTAGGGCACCTCTCCCTGTGTGAACAGTGTGTTACTGACTTGGAGGGACAGCTGAGCCAATACCCATTTACTCCTCTGGGCCAGAACATTCACAAACATCAATTTTGGTTTATTGAAAATGATGGGGAAATTCAAAAGCTACTAAATGAAAAACAAGAACTGTACAGGGTCTGCTGGCAAGATAGTTTGTCCATTTCCAAAATGGTAGCGTGTAACTCCAAGAGCAAAGTGCAAGCAAAGCTTAGAGAGATGCAGGATTTTTGGCTCAGTAAGAAGGCAAATGAAATTCAGCTTTATGCTGATAGTAACAATCCAAAGTTCTTTTATGGTGCCCTGAAGAACTGATTACTCAGTGCAGATGGTGCCACATTGAGTAGTGATAAGGACATGATCCTGGAGAGATGGGCTGAACACTTCCTTAGTGTCTCAACAGACCATCATCAACCCATGCTGAAGCCATTGACCATATACCTCAGGTTGATGTCGGTCTCTCTCTAGCCGAACTTCAAGCTGAAGAAGAGGTCTTGAATGCCATTGGGCTCCTCTCACACGGCAGAGTACCTGGTGCTGATTCCACTGCAGCAGAGATCCACAAGGTGGGGGTCCAATGCTCATACAAAAACTGATGGAAATCTTTGAGGTTGTCCCCCAGGAGTCCAAGGACGCTTCCATTGTCCATCTGTATGAAGGAAAAAGAAGTAGGCTGTCCTGTGACAACCACAGGAGGGTCTCTTTCTTTGTCATTGCTAGCAGGATTCTTGCCATAGCCCTCTTTAATCAGCTAATCCTTCATCTAAAAGATAGTCATCTACCTGAGAGCCAGTGTAGCTTCAGAAAAGGCTGAGGAGCAGTCGACGTGGTGTTTGCCGCCCGACAACTCTGGGCAAAATGCCAGGAACAGAACAGAGGTCTGTATACAGTGTCTGTCAGCCTAACCAAGGCCTTCAGGATTGTCAGTCAGGAGGGAAAATTATGGCAAAATGTGGTTGCTCAGAGAAGTTCATCAGTATTATACGCCAGTTTCATGATGACATGCTTGCCTGGGTTCTAGATAACGGATGATGCTCTCGTGCGTTCTCAATCACCAGCGGAGTGAAGCAGGGCTGTGTGCTTCCTCTCGTGCTTTGTTAGCTTGATGTTTTCTGCGATGTTGTTGGAAGCCTTCAGTGAGGACAAAAAATGGTGTCAAGGTCAAGTACTGCAGTGACAGTAAATTATTCAACTTGAAAAGGCTACAAGCCAAAACTAAAGTGGAGGGAGAGTTGGTGTGTGACTTTTTGTTTGCAGATGATTGTACGCTCATTGTAGCCTCTGAAGCTGAGATGCAACACAGTATGGATAGATTCACTGCCACTTGTGCTAATTTTGGCCTGACAGTTAACAATAAGAAAACAGAGGTTCTCCACCAGGCAGCACCACACCATCTATATGTGGAACCATCAGTTACAGCAAGTGGAGACATATTGAATGCTCTGGATAAGTTCACTTACCTTAGCAGTATACTTTCCAGGGATGTTACACGGATGACAAGCTCGATGCATGAATTGCCAAAGCTATCTCAGTGCTTGGAAGGTTCTGAAGGAAAGCGTGGGAGAGAAGAGGTATCAGACTGACTGCCAAACTGAAGGTCTACAGAGCCATTGTGCTGACCTCGTTTGCCTGTGAAACCTGGCCAGTCTACCAGTGCCAGCCTGGAAACTGAATCACTTCCATTTGAGTTGTCTTAGTAAGATTCTGAAGATCACCTGGCACAGTAAGGTGTCGGGCTCCGAGGTCCTCTCTTGAGCTAAACTGCCAGGCTTTCAAACTACAGAGAGTGCAGCTCCGATGGGTTGGACAGGGTGCTCAGATGCCTGCTCCAGCTACCTTCATGGCCATTGGAAGAAATTGTTCTCATCCGCCCGTTTCACAGGGGGACGTCTTTACGTGGTTGGGGTAGACACCCCTCCAACTCATCGACGGGTTTGAGGCCTGTCAGTTATCCTCAACCTGGTTTAGAATACAAATACAAGCAGGAAGACAGTCCCTGCCTTCAGGACTTTACCTTCCAATAGAGAAAACAGCACATCAAAAAAAAATATTGAAAAGAGTGTGGGGGTGGAGGGAGAAATGAAGGTCCCCGGCCCAGGGACCCAGGCTAGAAAGCAGAGGCAGGATGTCAGGGGGGCAGCCTGGAGAGGAATGAAGAGCTTGCTGGCCTGGGCCTCCCCCTTAAAATGGAGGTTCTGGGAGGAATCAGCCAATCGGAGAGAGGGCCCACAGAGATGGAGAGCATTTCCAGTCTGTGAAGCCCAGAGCTGGGGTGAGCTTGCAGGGCAGAAAGGCTTCTGGAGGCATTTGTAGAGAGAGTCCAGGAGCAGAGTCGGGAGGGTGGCCTGGAGAGGATGGTGGTGCTTTCAACAGTCATTGGAAAATTGAGAAGAGAAGAGGGCATGGGGGGAAGAATGATGAGGTCAGTTCTGGATATGTTGAGTTTGAGATGACCATGGGACATCCAGTTTGAGCTGTCCAATAAGCAGGACTGGGGCTCAGAAGAGAGGTTAGGGCCAGACAGAGATGAAAATCGAATCCATGGAAGCTGATGAAGTCACCAAGTGAGAGGTAAACAGAGGAGAAAAGAGGCTCAGGATAGAGCCTTGGGGTCACCCACAGTGAGGAGCCATCACGCAGGTGGGGAGGCAGCAGAGGGTTGCTGTGTCTTCTCTGGAACAGAGTTTTCTGACTCTTCCTCTTCTTTCTCCTTCCTCTGCTGCCTGTCTTTAGACTCTGTGTCACTGAGCAGGCATTTGTCACACACTGGCAGCGTGTGAAGGGCTCGAGTCGGGAGAGGGGAACCAAGATTTGGTGGCTAGCACCCGCCCTCTAAGGTTTGCTGCCTCATGTTGGCCACCGCTACCTGCCAAGGGCATCACTGGTGCCCGCAGGAGGAGGAGTCCGGCTCTGGTGTGGACAGGCTGCAGCAGAGGTACACCTGGGGACTCTCCCCCGGCGGGACGCCCCCACGGGGTCAGCCCCTGAGCAGAGCTCTCTGTGTCCCAGGTGCTTCGGGAGGTGTCTGCCTTCGATGTCACCTACACAGCTCTAGTCATCTCCCACTCGGGGCGCATGGTGTTTGTCGGCACCTCGATGGGCACCATCCGATCCATGAAGTACCCCCTGCCCTTGCACAAGGAATTCAATGAGTACCAGGCACATGCTGGGCCTGTCACAAAGGTAAGAGGGGCCCTCCCGCCCTCCCTCCTCGACTCTCCCATCCCTCATTGGCCCACTTCCCATGAAGAAAGGCTCAGGGTAGTAAAGATTTAAAGAGTTGTTCAGGTGTCTTTCAATGCCAAAGAAATGTTTGTTTGTATGGGTAAGATGATTAGGGTTAAGTGACTTGCCCAGGGTCACACAGCTAGTAAGTGTCAAGTGTCTGAGGTCAGATTTGAACTCAGGTCCTCCTGACTCCGGGGCTGGTGCTCTATTCACCGCACCACCTAGCTGCCCCTAATGCCAAAGATATGTTAGGAGGCTTCAAAGGACTCGTGGAGATCTTCCCTTCTAACTCCCATAGGACAGCTGAGAACAAGACACCCAAGCTCTAATGGGGCAGCACGTGGCCTCTCAGACTACAGGGAGTGACGCAGGGCGTGGGGTGTTAGAGACCCCCAGTGGGATGGCACCGGCTTTCAAGCTGGGCTTCAAGACTTCCTCATGGGATAGCACTGTCTCTCCCGTGGATTAGAGATGCCCTGATGGGCTGGCAGGGCCTGAGAAGGGGCCGACAATGAGCGAGCACTGTGTCTAACGTGGATTCATGAGTTAGGACTAATGTGCTGCACTGTCCACTAATGTGGACACGAGGGTGGGCAACCTTGGGGCATGAGCTGCTGAGCTGCTGCTGCTCCTTCAGAGCTGACCAGCCTAAGTGAAGCCCACTGGACAGTCAGTCTGGGATGGCCATACATACTTGGGAATGCTTTTCTTTCTGACTTCTAAAGAGGATATTCCCATGTTTAGAGATAAGAAGCTGAAGAAAGGACACTGAGAACCCTGTCCTCCCCTTTTCTCCATTGGTGCTCTGGACGGGATTTCCCTTGTCATTCAAAGGTCGGGGCGTGTCCTGTTTTTCTGGGAGAGATTTAAAGCTGGGCATGGCTGAGAAGTGTGGCCTCCACTGCCCTTTTAGACCCTGATCCACGTGACCTCTTCATTCCCAATCCTTCCGTCCGTAGATGGCCATTACATTCGATGACCAATTCCTGCTGACCAGCGCTGAGGATGGCTGCCTCATCACCTGGAAGGTCTATGATAAGGACGGCCGGGGTATCAAGAGGGAACGGGAAGTGGGCTATGCCGAGGAGGTGCTGGTCACTAAGACAGACATGGAAGAGAAGGTGAGGGCTGGACTCCGCTCAGATCTCCTCTGCTTGCCCCTTGTGCACACTCCTGGCCCGTTTCTGGCCAGGCCCACTGCACGAGGACATGGGAGGGTCCCCAGGAGCTAGGAATTCTTTGGCATGAGCATCCCCACTGCAGTCTCCTTGTTGGTGAGTGCAGACCCTCACCACAGAGACAACCCTCTATAGCTCTACCCGAATAGGCAGGGCCATCCTGGGGCCAGACTGACTGGCTTGAGAGAGCCGATGGCTCAATGGTTAGTGTGAGCATTTACACCAAATCTATAAATCAGGGCTGGATTTACTGTTTTGTTGTTTATTTAAATTTAAGAAAGTAGCATGTATGTATGTATATGTATGTATGTATATATCTATATACATGTATATACATACACATGTACATATGTAGCATGTGTACAGATATGTGTGTGTGTGTGTGTAAACTATGTCAAGAAGAGCCTGAGCACCTTCTCTGAAATTTCCAAGATCTTCAGGTGCCAGAGAGAAGTGGAAATTTAGGAAGCTAAACATGTTCTATAAAGGCGGTATCAAAAGGTCACGTTACACTGTAGTGGGGCATTTAAAACAGAGAGAGTGACTGCTTTATGATAAGCTAGTGTGAGCCACCATGGAGGGACTCACTGTAGACACAGAGGCTGCCACAAACAGGGGATCTCACCCCATCCCAGGGGGATGCAGAGTAGTGGTGGTTGCTAGATGGCTGTCATCAAGATGGTGGGACGCTCAGACCCTCTGCCCAGGAATGGGTGTGGGTGTTGGCAAGACAGTTCCCCCCCTTTTCCCAAGAGACTTGGAAAGAAAAGCCAGAAAGAGCCTCCTTGCAGGTTTGCAGTGGAAGGAAAACAGAAGAATTTGTTTTGCCTAACTATACATATTTGTTACAAGTGTTTGGCTTGGGTTGCTTTTTTCCCTTGGAGTGGGAGGGAGGGAAAATAAATGCTTGTTAAATGAAAAAATATTTTTAATAATAAATGAAAAAATAATTTTGAAAAAACCAATCCCTGTGATGCCAAGAAACCTGCCTCCCTTTTTGGAAGCACATCTATGAAAGCAGCTGTCAAAGAAAGGCACTGAATGTCATTTGTACCGTAGCCCCAACCTTAGGCCAGTTTTCCCATCCTTCATTAGGCGTAAGGCTGTGTTCTGTGGGAACACCTGCTGGGGCTAGGGCTGGGATAAAGCAGCCAAACAGTCCCTGTCGGTGAACTCAAACATTCTGCCGGACATAGGAGACATAGGAACCTTTGAAGAGGTGGGACCTTTCCTATCTTTCATTCCATTCCACACCCAGTCCCCCAGAGTGCCTACGTACAGATTGTAAGGTTCTGTGCCCAGGGGGTTCAGGGGCCGTTCCCCTCCAGCCTCAGGGCCTCACTTCCCCACCCAATCAGAAATACCTGCTGAGCACCTGCCATGTGCCAGGCCCTGAGCTGGACCCTGAGAGAGACCCAGAAAGAAGCCGTCCCAGGTAGAGCTTACCATCAGTCTGGTGCAGGGGAGAAGGAGGGAGGAAACCAGCTCATGAGAAGATAGCGGAGATGGGGAATAGATCCACAGAAGAGGGCACCTGGGTGTGGGTGATGTGAGGCACAGATAGACGTGCCCAGGTCGGCTCACCCGCCGCTCCGAGCCTTCAGTGTTGGGCACCCACTGCCCCTGAAGCTGGGGGCGAGGCTCGCTGACACAAGTCAGGTCCCTCCCCTCAGGGCCTCTGCCGGTGCAGATCATCCTAGCGCTGGGCTCTCCCTCCGCAGGCCCAGATCATGCTGGAGCTGAAGACGCGAGTGGAAGAGCTGAAGATGGAGAATGAGTACCAGCTGCGGCTGAAGGACATGAACTACACCGAGAAGATCAAGGAGGTGACGGACAAGTTCATCCAGGAGATGGAATCTCTGAAGACCAAGAACCAGGTGAGTCCTTGTGGCCGCCCGCCACCCGTCCAACGCTCTTCCTGGGCAGGGAGGAAGGAGAGTGGGTGTCGCCGTTCCAAAACCCCTGGGTCCTAGAGCCAGAGAAGATGAAACGGGGGGAGCGGCTCAACTCCGAAGGGTTGGAGAACACGAGGGCATCTAGAACCCACTCCGGAACAGGTGACAAGGACAGATAGGGCATGTATTAATCACTTACTGTGTGCCAGGTTAAGCTGTGATGAGCACTGAAGATACAAAAACAAGATGGTCCCTCCTCTCGAGGAACTTGCCACCCCTAAAGAGAGGTGGAAAGTCAGGGAGAGGAGACTTGGAAACCCCTTTTTGGAATGACATTGGAAGATCACCTCTGGTGCTCACAGCAGCAGTCTTTTTAAATAAGCATTTACATCATGCCTACTGTGTGCCAGGCACACTGCTAAGCACTTTACAGTCTCACTGGATCCTCACAACCACCCAGGCTGCAAAAAGAAACACGCAGAACACATCTGGGGAGCAGACACCTTCCGGACAGGCTTCGTATCTGTAAGCCATAATGAAAAGCAAACCACCAGAGCCAGAGCTGTGAAAAGTGCAAAGTGAAAAGCCCCGCCTCCCTCACAAACCACCTGCTAGAGGACTGAGAAGCAAAGACTTTGGGGGACTGAAGCTGGATCCTCTCCGCAAAGCCATGAAGTGGTGGATTCCAAGGAGACCTATCAATCCTGGCTCACCAGCAAAGTGTTTCCCCAGCCTCCTCCCTGGTGCAAACCTGATGGAAAGCATCCCATGTGTATTACCAGAGCCCAGGGTGGAGAGGGATGCTTACGGTAACCCGTGGGGGAGCAGGGGCCCTGGTCACAGTTCCAGGGTGGAAAAGAATGTTTGTGACTACTCACAGACCAGAGCACAGACTAGGAAAGTATTAAACATACCACTCCTTGGATCATACTACCTTGGGAGAACAGAAAACAGACTACCAGAACTAGCTCTGAAAACAGCTTCACAAAAAATCTGAAGCTTGGGACGGTGGCTCTTCCACCCTGGGAGCAGAGCCCAACTCTAACATAAAGTTAAAAGTCAAGACACAGTTGGAAAAATGAGCAAGCAACAACAACAACAAAAGAACCTGACTATAGAAAATTACCATGGTGACAGGGAAGATGAAAGCAAAACAATCAGAAGGCAACAAAATCAAAACTGCTACATCCAAAGCCTCAGAGAAGAATGTGAATTGATCTCAAGCCCAAAACATAAATTCCTGGAAGACCTCAAAAAGGATTTTAAAAATCAAATAAAGAAGGTAAAGGCAAAATTGGGAGAAGAAATGAGACTGATGCAAGAAAATCATGAACAAAAGAGTTAACAGTTTGATAAAGGAGGCACAAAAGATACTGAAGAAAATAACACCTTAAAAAACCAGAATAGGCCAAATGGAAAGAGAAGCACAAAAATGCACTGAAGAGAACTCCTTAAAAAGTAGAATTGGCCAAATGGAAAAGGAGGTACAAAAGCTAACTGAAGAAAATAATTCCTTAAAAATTAGAATTGGGCAAGTAAAAGCTAATGACTCCAGGAGACATCAAGAAACAATAAAACAAAATGAAAAAAAAATAGAAGAAAATGTGAATTATCTTATTGGAAAAACAACTGACCTGGAAAATAGATCAAGGAGAGATAAATGAAGAATTTTTATTGTACCATCTAAAATCCATGATTAAAAAAGAGCCTAGGGATGGCTAGGTGGCACAGTGGATAGAGCACTGGCTCTGGAGTCAGGAGGACCTGAGTTCAAA